TCCCCCACCCCCACCCCAATGCCTACTAGCACCTCTCTCAGGCAGAGTGAGACTCCTGCTTCAAGAAGTGAGTGTGCTAGCAATGGACACTAGACAGCATCTAAGGCCAGGGACTCCAGAGACCTCTTCCTCCAAAATGCTTTGTCAGGGAACTAAATAGGAAAACTTGGAGCTGGGTCATAGATGAGCTGTGGTAGCCTTGTGGTTACATGTCTAGCTTGGATCCAAAAGGTGGACAGTTCAAAACTACCAGTTACTCCAAAGGAGAAAGATGGGGCTTTCTAACCCCATAAGCAGTGGCAGTCTCAGAAACTTAGAGAGGCATCAACTCGATGGCAGTGAGCTTGCCGGGGTTTGTTTGTTGAGAGCTGGGTCACGGAGGAGGAGGAGGAGGAGGAGGAGGAAGGGGCGAAGAGAGGTGAAGTGTCTCTCCTAGGACACTGGCTACAACTTCATCACACTGGTCTAAAAACTGAACAGCAAAATGCAGGGCACAAAGGTCCATGCCCCTAGTACTGGTTTCTGGGGCGAAATGAATGAATGAATTGAATGAATGGTTTGCCTATTGTCCAGCAAGGGATCTCCATGAGGCAGCCAAGGCTCTGGAGAACCCCTCACTATCTGGCCCTCTAGCCACCTTGACTTTCTACTCAGCTTTATGAGTGGACACACCTGCCCCTCGAACTCTAGGTAACCCAGAACTTAACATTACCGAGTTTCACCTACTGCTTTCTGTTCCTGTTCAGAACACCCTTCAAAAGGAGAACAGGATTCTGGAGGAGGGAAAAAAATCACAATTTACCCAGTTGCAGCTTCATCGCATATCAAATCTTTCCACTCGCATCTTTCCATTTTGATATGAGGCCTTATCAAGAGAATAAAATGATAAATCCCAAAGGCACAGTGGCTTGAGAATAAATCCATAATCATTTCACCCAAAGTTCTCTTCAATTTCCAGGCTTCCTGCCAAGCCAGTTAGGAGTTCAATGACTTTTTTTTTTTTTTAACTCTGTAAAAAAAGTCATTCCACCTGGATTCTCACTGTTCTGATGATTAAGAAATATCTCCAGTGGTTTGTTAATCCCTCCTGTTGGACTTCCACTTCACTTCCTTTTTTTTGCCCAACCCCCACCTGGAACTGGAAAATGATGGGCCAAAAAAGTAGCCTTGAGGGTTTTTTAGCAAACTAGACTTTCTTCTGTGGGTCTAAGCTACTCTTTCACCCCTTTACAATGCAAAACTGGCTCTAGCAATCAAGGCTCTCAAATTCCAAGGAACAGTCAAGAAATACGTCACTTCTAGATCATGAAAACTAGATGCTACTGGACAAGGCATCAATGACTTGAACAAATATTACACAAAGATTCAGTATCATAAATATGACAACGCTCCCTTCAACATCTACAAATATGTGATCACAAGGAAATATAACATCAACAGTAGCACCAAAAAGTAACTCGTGGTAGAGTCCCACAATAGAACACTGTACAATCATGAGAATTAATGGACTACAACTACACATACATTAATATGGCTGAATCTTGCAAAAGCAATGTTGAGCAAAAGCAGCCAGTACATACTGTTTTGTTTTGTACAAACAGTAATCAATAGTTTTAAGAGTCAGAACAGTAGTTACCCTTGAGGAGGGAGGTGGGTGAATAGGTTGTTTTGGGAGTGTTGGAAATCTTGTTTCTTGATTTGGGTGTCGGCTACACAGATGCGTTTAGTTGTTTTTTAACTAAACAAAATGCATACTTATTTGTGCACTTTTCTGTACATAGTTTCCATCAAATTTTAAAAGCAGTATAGTACTAAAACAGGAATAGACAAATCACTGAAACAAAATTAAAAATCCAGAAGCTGACCCAAATACAAATGGTAATTTTGGTATATTATAAAGGTAGCATTCAAAATCAATGGGAGAAATATGGGGGTTTTAATATCCAGAGCTGAGGAAAACAAAATACAAAATAAAGTTGGAGGAGACATCGGACAATGTAGGATATGACAGAGTAATAATTTAAGAATTATCAATGGTTTATGAGGGAGAGGGGAAAATAAGGAGCTGATGCCAGGGGCTTGAGTGGAAAGCAAGTGTTTTGAGAATGATGATGGCAACGAATGTACAAATGTGCTTTACACAATTGATGTATGTATGGATTGTGAAAAGAGCTGTATGAGCCCCCAATAAAATGATTTGAGAAAAAAAAAGACTAGAAAAGTAAATAAATAAAATAAAGTTGGATCTTTATCTTGCATTGTCCACCAAAATAAACTCGAGGACTAACTCAAATATTTACATATACAAAAAGGCACTATAAAAAATATTTGAATAAACATAGAATTTAGTCATCTTAAAAATAATCTTTCTAAATATATGAAACCCAGATATTATCAGAGATTTACGTTGACAGATTCAACCACATAAAAATAATTTACAAATTTAGGGAACCGATTACTGTGTGTGACCTCCTCCCTGGGGGACAGACAACCGAAAAGTGAGTGAAGGGAGACGTCGGACAGGGCAAGATATGACAAAATACCCATTTATAAACTATCAAGGGCTCATGAGGGAGGGGGG